GGTGCATGGGAAAGGTGTGAGAGATGGGAACAACATGAATATGTTTTCAAATACGGGATAATGTCACATGTTGAGGCAAAACAAAACCTTTGATCTTAAACTCAGTAAATTAAGGAGGTAAAAGAGGAAAAATAAAATAAAATAAATTAAGCTACTGCAACAGATCACACTCATCCACCTCAATGCAAGCAAAAAGCTTTAGGGAAGCCTTTGCATTTCCAATCCATTTACCAAAAAAGTAGAAACACTACAGGACCAGGACAGAGACTGAGCCCACACAACTTTTCCTACAGTTACAGTATTACCAAAAGAGATAAACCAAGCACGTGTTGCTGCCTGGTTTCTGTTTTCCACCCATAACTTTGAAATAAGTAATTTCACCGGCACTGTTTTATCAGATCACTTGAGGAGCTCAGGTCCATAAGGAGTGAGGAATAAAACATTTAAACAGAAGAAATATGACAGTTCTCAGCCCATCAAATGGTACACACTCCCTAGCCCAGTAAGTCATATCAAATTAATTTTCTGGCCTTTTACGTGGAATAAACATCTGACAAAACAGGAAAAATACTACTCTTGAAATACACAGCTTTCATAGTAACTTGTCTTGTTCTTAACCCAGTCCTGAACATTAAGAGAGCCTTATTCTTTCCAAAAAGCAGAGCATTCAGGCACTGTCTTTGCCATAAAGGTGCTGCCAAAGAAACAGAACCATTCAGGATGAAGAAAGCAGCAGGAAGCCAAGACTTTGATCTCTAATCCCAACTTAACCAGGACTGTTTGATCTTAGAAAAAATATTTAGCCCCTAATGCATTAGCATTATACAGATTAATATAATGCTTTAAATATTACACAGTCTTTACAAGTGCAATGCAAGTAAAGCTCAACAATTATGGCATCGAGTTCATTCACCAATTAACCAGCTCCAAGGTAGGTTCTAACAGTAAAATTATGCTCCATTAGTAAACCTGCTAAGAGAGCTCCTGCTTAAGATTATTTTCATACCTTCTAATGTTTCCTGCCTCAAATTCAACAACTTTTGCTTCAAATGCAAATCATCATTAATCAAGCAAAAATTGTTACCTAGCAAAAATATTAATATTTCATGGGTTTATTTATACTATAGCCACCACAAAAATCAGTTTAACAGGTAGCCCACAAAAAAGGGCTTAGGGGCTGCAGCCCATGCTCAGGGAAATGCAAGCTCTGAAGCCTCTCCAGAAACAGGCTCCAAACCAGAATCCTTTCAGAAAGAAGCACTTTGGAACACAGTCTTTAAAAACACATGTATATACTACCTCATTCTACTCTTTTTATATGATGACAAAGTTACGTGAATATCAATTAAAACCTTGATAACAAAATTTTAAGTCACTCAAAACTGTAACAAGTACACAAGTACTTTTAACTAGAAAGAAGTTAATTCATCTGCAAAATGCACCAAAACATTATTCTATATTTTGATTATATTCAAAAATGTTTAAGCTGAGTAGCTCTGACCACTACTTCTTCCAATCAAGGAGCATCCTTCCCATCCTTCTACTACAAAAGGAAAGCAGAAAACAATCATTTTCCTCTGATTTCTGTCTTTCAAAAAGTTGGAGAGCCTGAAATGCAGAAGAGTTCTGCCCCTGCAGAAGTGGACTCTGCACTCAGTGGAAAAATCAGTGGTAAAAAGTATTTGGTATCAGTGTGGGGTCTGTTTTTTCTTTTTAAAAGAATTCTAAAAATACACAGTGCTTAAATAACTGTGTTGATAATACTTCAAACTGACATTCTACAAGTAACCTCTCAAAACCAAAACTTAAAAATGTACTGGTTTGGGGGTTGGTTTGGGTGGGTTTTCTTGCTTTGTGCCATTGTTGTTTTGGGCTGGGTTTTGGGTGTGGGTTGGTTTTTGGCTTTTTATTACTGTTTTCTTTACATCAAACCACTCTTTACTGAACATGTGTGTTAAACAGCTTCTCTCAACATTCACTCTACAAGCTGAGCTCCCATCCCAGACAACCACAACTCAACACTTCTGTCCTTTAAGTTCAAAGAGAACCACCCAGAGAAAGCAAGGGAGGACTTACTCTAAAGACTTCCACACCTAGAAATCAGCAGGTACTGGAACAACACGATCACATTCACACTAACAAAACAGGCACACCTTTTCTTTTTTCTATGCTTTATGGACTCAAAAGGAAGGTTACAAGTAGTTGTTTTCCCAGGTTATTCAGACTTAGAAGTGTCCTAGCTTAATCACACTGTTATCAGTAACACTTCCAGTTTCAAACTGAAAGTTTCACCCCGTTAGAGGAATATTTTTTATGAGAAAAGTAAGACAAACACCTACAGCAGAAAGGCTGCTTCTGCAGCCTACCTGCATCTAAAAATCTTACCTACTACTTGCAGAGAAGTAGTGTCCACACACTGTCCTCACTGATGCTCTCAAGCACAAAACTCCCCCAAATCTTCCATCTACTGTAGCCTGACTGTTTTTAAGTGGGCTGTATGACTCAGACTAGATTCATTTTAAAACGTAATTGTCACTTTTCTGGTATCGTCCAAACAAGCAGTCAGATGCTCTAGGGTCAAAATTAAAAGTTATATCAACAACAGTGAAACAGCCAATACGTCACTTGTTTCCTCTGCTGTCACCTCCAACACAAAGGAAACATCTGAGACCATATCTGACCCTGCTCCCTATCAGATGAAGTGCTACCCAATGTTTACAGCTCATGACTTTTATTCACAGTCTAAATATCAAGAGTTAAACAGCAGGGGTAGGCAGAAGTCAGTTATTTTAATTAATTTCTCAGGGTAGCCCTCTGTGAAGTCCTTTTTGCGTCAGGATACAGCCCATCACATCACTGTTCCAGCAGAACTGCTGAGGGTAAGGCCAGCTTACCCGACAGTGCTCTTTGCAGGCTGACACACAAATAAGGACAGGGCTACAGAGTGGCACCTTCATAGAGAAAACTCAACCCAAGAGAACCCTGAGATGTCCTGTCGATGCCTGGGATGCCACCCAGGAGAAGACCTGCCTTCAGCACTGGGCATCAGGCAGCACTACAGCCAGACAAGACCAACAGTCAGCAAACTACTGACATCATTCCTAGGAATAGGAAAAGGAAAACCACAAGCAGACGTTCAAAAGAGCAGAGTTCTCGGGAGATATGCAGAGCCAGCACAAGGGTTTGCACATGCTGAAAATAAAGCGTGATGCCAAGCATTCCTTCACCTCTTGAGCCTCCCTGCACAGCCCCGTGCCCCAGCCCCGCACTCACCCCCCTCTGGGCTTTAACTCAGGAAAGGGACACAACTATTCCAGCAGAAAGCTGATAAACCAGACCACAAAAAGGTTCACCTTGCTAAAATGGCAGAAGACCAACAAGCACTGGAACTATGAAAAGAGAAGGGAGGGGCTATGCAACTGCAAAGAAAGGAACAACAAGAGCCTGCCTTTTTGGCAGGCTGGCAGCTTGTGAGCAACCGCCTGTGAGAGCAGCTTCCAAGATCCTCTTGGATAGGATGCCTCCCTAAAAGAAGGCCAAAAGGTCCCAGACAGGTGGAAGAAACAGCAAAGGACAAGTTATTCATAAAGCAAATTATCGGAGCGTTTCATAACTGTGACAGATGCTGCAGCAGGACTCACTTAAAACGTCTACAAATGTCTTAATAAACCGCCCGAAATTAAAACAGTAAGTTAGATAAAAATCTAAATTAGTCTTGGATTATAAACCAGAAGTAATCACTGACACTTGCTGGTTCAAGATTCCCCTCGATGAGAGTAACCATTGCCACTGCCATCTGCTGTCTCCATAATAACGGATGAGAAACGAGCCCAGGTTTTTCCTAATCGCATTCCCACTTGGGTAAAAACACCATTAGAACTGACCCAGCCCGACATTCCTGGACTTCACAGCAGAGAAGCCAAGAACTACACAGACCTCAACACCAGAACAGCTCAGCCAAAGCACTTCCCCCAAAGGCTGCTTCAAACGGAGGAAGAACCCAGGAATGAATGAAAAGATGGAGCTGGAAGACTCTGAGCTGGCAACTCAGTTTTTTTCCTGAGCTGGACTTAAAACCGCTCACGACAGATGTTTGGGAACAACACATAAACCTCCCCGTACACTAAGCCAGATCTAAAGACTGTATATCGAGTTTCATACACGCACAAGCGAGGACTGGAAACCAGCCGCCTCTGCAGCGGAGCTCCACGAGAAGGCAGGAACGCGAAAAAAAACACCTCCTCAGGTCAGTGCTGCCACCAGCACGGCGCCTTCGCTCAACACTACGCGGGCAGGGCTCTGGAAGCGAATAACCCCGGAGGCTCCGGAGGCAGAGCACAAAGGCAGCGCCGGGAGCTCTCCCTGCCCGCCGGGCGCTGCCGGAGCCCCGAGGAGCGGACGAGGAGGGGCCGCTTTCCGCAGCCCTCACGGCCACCCCGCCAGCGGCTGGGGCTCCGCAGCGCAAACCCCGCTTTCTAAAGCACGAGCCCATGAGGGAAGCGCGGGCGGCGCGGACCCCGCTCTTTGTTCGCCGCCGCGGGCAGGCCCGGCCCGGCCCCGGGCCCGTCCCTCACCTCGCGAACGTCCTGCAGGCACTCGAGCACGGCGAGGTTGTTGGCCCAGCTGTGCTTGGAGCAGAGCCGCACCACGTCCTCCCGGCACACCGCCTCCTCCGACAGCTTCCACCCGCTGCCCGACCCGCCGCCGCGGGCGCTCCGCGGCACGGCCGCGCCCGGCCCTGCCGGCTGCGCCACTCCGGGCAGGGCACCAGCGGCGCCGGGAGGGCCGGCGGGAGGGCCGGGCGCCGCCGGCCGCGCCGCCAGCGCCAGCAGCAAGAGCAGCGCCGGGCCCGGGCAGCGGCTCCGGACACGTCCGCACGGCGCCATCTTGGATCCGCCACCTCCGGCGTCCGCCCGCCCGCCCCACGGCACGCACGGCGTATGCAAATCAGCGCGTGACGGCGGCGGGACACGCCCCTCTCCTGGCGGAGGAGGGGGGCGTGGCTTTCGCGGGGCCCGCCCTCCTCCAGCACGCGGCGCGGCCGTTGTCGCCTGAGGGGAGCGAGGCGGTGCCTCGGGGGCAGCGCGCGCCCAACGGCACCAACGGCCCCGCAGCCCCTCAGCGGCCCCCGCACCACCTCAGGGGCCCCCTTAGCCCCCCACGGCCCCGCAACCCCTCAGGGGCCCCCTTAGCCCCTCACGGCCCCGCAACCCCTCAGGGGCCCCCTTAACCCTTCACGGCCCCGCACCACCTCAGGGGCCCCCTTAGCCCCTCACGGCCCCGCAACCCCTCAGGGGCCCCCTTAGCCCCTCACGGCTCCGCAGCCCTTCAGGGGCCCCCTTAACCCCTCGCGGCCCCGCAACCCCTCAGGGGCCTCCGCAGTCCCTCAGGGGTCCCCTCAGCCCCCCAGCCGCGCAGGGCCACCCTGCGGAGCCAGCGCCGGTGCTCGGGAGGGACGCGAGGAGCCGAGCTCACCCCGGCGGGAAGGCGGCAGGCGGGCCGCGGGCTTCCCTCAGTAGGTGGCCAGTAGCTGTGACCGGATTTTCCCCGAAAGCGCTCGGTTCCCACTCGCAACTCAGCTGCCCCAGTGATAGAGAAGTAATAGAGATCATGGGGAAACTGGGCTTTGAGAAGGCTTGGATTAAAGAGGAGCAACAAGAGCAGAAGGATGAGGGAAAACTACCGATGAATGAAGAAGAAATACAGAGGTACGTAGAGAAATTACACAGCTACATAGAAAAAATGCAGAGGAATGAAGAAGAAATGCGGGAGAACAAAGAAAAAATGCGGAAGAACGAAGAAAAGATACAGGAGATCGATGAAAAAATACAGGAGATCAAAGAAAAAATACAGGAGAACGAAGTAAAAATACAGGAGGACAAAGAAAAAATACAGCAGATCAAAGAAAAGATACGGAACAATGAAATAAAAATACAGATGAACAAAGAAAAACAGGAAAAGAAAGAAAGATTGCTGAAAAATGTGGGAAAACTACAGAAAAATGAAGTAAAAACAGAGAACGAAATAAAAATAGAGGAGTTCATGGATAAAATACAGGCAACCAAAGAAAAAATAAGGAAGAACAAATCAAAAGTACTGAAGGACGAAGAAGGAATGCAAATCAAAGAAGGAATTAAGAACAAGAGAAAAGTACAGGAGCTAGACAAAAAAATACAGGAGCTTGACAAAAAAATGCAGGAGCTTGACGAAAAAATGCAGGAGGGTAGAGAAAAAATACAGCAGCTCAAAGAAAAGATACGGAACAATGAAATAAAAATAGAGACAAACAAAGAAAAAATACAGGAAAAGAAAGAAAGAAGGCTGAAGAATGTGGAAAAAACACAGAAGAATGAAATAAAAACAGAGAATGAAATACAGGAGTTCAAAGAAAAAATACAGGCGATCAAAGAAAAAATGAGGAGGAACAAAGAAATGCAGATCAAAGAAAAAACACATCAGATCAAAGGAAAGATACAGGAGCTCGATGAAAATATACAGGAGAATGAAATAAAAATGCAGGATGACAGAGAAGAAGTACAGCAGATCAAAGAAAAGATACAGAAGAATGAAATAATAATGCAGATGATCAAAGAAAAAATACAGGAAAATGAAGAAAGAAGGCTGAAGATTCTGGAAAACAGACAGAAAAATGAAGCAAAACCAGAGAATGAAATAAAAATACAGGAGGACAATAAAATAGAGCAGATCAAAGAAAAGTTACGGAAAAATGAAATAAAATTAGAGATGATCAAAGAAAAAATACAGGAAGAGGAAGAAAGAAGGCTGAAGAGTGCGGAAAAAATACCGAAGATTGAAGAAGAAATGCAGATCAAAGAAAAAATTAGGAAGAACAAAGAAAAAATACAGAAGCTCAACAGAAAAATACAGGAGCTTGACGAAAAAATACAGAAGAATACAGAGAACGAAATAAAAATACAGGAGATGAAAGAAAAAATAAAGGCAGCCAAAGGAAAAATGAAGAACAAAGAAAATAGCAAAATACCAAAGAATGAAACCAAAATACTGGAGAGTGAAGTAAAAACAGAGAACGAAATGGAAATTCGTAAGAATGAAATAAAAATACGGGAGATCAAAGAAAAAATACGGAAGAACAAATTAAAAATACAGGAAAACAAAGAGAGAATACCGAAGAGTGAGGAAATAACAGAGAACAAAATAAAAATACGTAGGAAAGAAGAAAAAATACAGGAGATCGAGGAAAAAATGCAGAAGATCAAAGACGAAATGCGGAAGATTGAAGAAAAAATACAGAAGAACAAAATAAGATTACAGGTAAACGAAAAAATACCGAAGAATGAAGAAAAAATACAGAAAAATATGGAAGAATGAGAGAAAACTACAGAAGAATGAAGAAACAATATCAACTAAAAAACTAAAAAAAAACCCCAAAACCGTTAATAAAATGCTGACAGCCAACTTTGCCACTGTCATTTCTCCATGCTGAGTGCCAAACTGTCAGGTGGATGGATGATCTCCCTGTGTGTGGATGCCCTCATGGCCCCTCCTGGGGCAGGATGCTGGGCTGGCAGGAGGGCATGGGATAAATCCCACAGCCTGCAGCAGGCTGGCCCTCCCTGCAAGCAGCAGGCATCTGAACAAGGGCCAAAAAGTCACGTTTTGGGGATGCCATGAGGTGGCTCATTTTCAGGGTTGGTGGGCTGGCTGCACCTCCTGCCCTGTCAGTGCCAGCCACTGGGTTTTGGGGGTGGGATTTGCAAGGTCACACTCATCATGGCCCCTGGGCTTTCTTCATGGGGATGGAGAGAAATGGGGCTGTAAGAGTGATCTTGTCCCCAAAGCAGGATCTCCAATGGCTGATCCTGGTGTAAATGGGATCCACAGGTTCCTCCTAGGGCAGTAAGGGGGGGTTGGATGCTGAATTTGGTGACGGATCATCTGAAAGTGGTGTCTGCAACCGCACAGCTCCCCTCGGAGCAGCGTTTTGGGGATGTTGCAGCCCGCTCCGCCCCAGCAGCCAGACCCCAAATGTCCCAGTAAAACAGTACCTGTCCAGGTGTTGGGTCAGTGGCAGCAGTGGGACACAGCTCCACCTCCAGCTGAACAACCAGACAGCTTTTTGAGTGTTCCCCCAGGATCTCATCAGGTCAGGTCACAGCACCTTCCTAGGATGGATTTGCCCGTAAATGTCAGATTTGCTTCCAACGACAGATGGAAATGGGGGACTGGGAGAATCCCACCTCAATTCCTCTGCTTGGTTGATTCCAGGAGCAGTTTTCCTAGCCCAAGCTGGCATCAGGCCAAAGTCAGAAGCTTTTGCCTGATGCCAGGGTGCTCCATGGCTCTGCCCTGGCTGGGTGAGCTGGGGTGAAGCAGAGCTGTAGGGCCGCTCCCTTCCTGCCCCAGGCTGCCTCATCCTGCCTGGGAAAAGCCCTTCTCCTGCAGCCACCTTGTCCAGGTGAAGGCGAGAGGGAGAGGGCTCAGCTGGCAAAGTCCCTGCACTTCCTTCATTCAAGTGTCAGCTGGGACACAGCGCTCGGAAAGTGGCTTTGCTGGCACCCAGGGGCCACGCAGCTGGGAACACTTGAGAACAAAAGCCAGCAAAATCCAGCCCGTGCTTGGCAGCCTATTTGGCTTAGTGGGAGTTATTTGAAGTTAGCCCAATGTGAGAGCTGGCTCTGCTCCTCCATCCATTGCAGGATGAGGACAGAGGGGAGCAATGGAGCTGGGTTACAGCTCGCTTCTCCTTCCACACCCTTGGGAGCTCTCCGGAGAGTCATTTTTTGCACAAGGAAAACCTCCTCCCAGGCTTGGATTTTACCATTCTGCACAGTCCACCATGAAACAAGCATTTCATAAAAGACCCCTATGGTCCCCGTGTCCATGCAGCACGTTAAACAAGGAGGAGGTTTGTCTTTGGGCACAGGGACATCTCTGCCTGTGTGATAACCCCAGCAGCTCCTTGCTACTGCAGCCCCTCTCCCTCAGCAGAAATTCCCTCATTGCCACATTTTAAGCATTTTACCACCAAGGCTCTCAGTCTCTGGATGCTGCATTAAGTGTTTGCAGTCCCTTGCTTCTGTAGTGGGCAGCACATTTAAGTCTCATCGCTTCAAGCAACAAATGCCATTTAAATGTCCCCACCAGAGCGAGGCCGGGGTAAGCTGAGCTGCTGGGACACCTCTCGCTCCTTCCCAGCAGTGTTCTTGCTCTCTACTGCTTTGAGGAGAACAAAAGTTCTTCCTCAGTCCATGTGGAGGAGCTGCTCCAGTTTTTAATTGGATACAGTCTGCTTGCTCCCATGTGGCCACAGGCACTGCTCCAAATCCTGGCTCTGCCTGTGCAGTGTGCTCAGGCCCTCTCCTTGCATCCAACCTGATTCAGCTGCCTCCCTCCAAAGCTGTGCATCCCCCAGAACTTCAGCACTGTCTTTCCCAACAGATGATCCTTTCCACCAGCAAATGCTGCTGCAGAGAACCAAGTCAGGTGCTTTGTTACTGCTGCCATTCAGCACTTTTTCTTGCTGGCTGAGGTGGGAACACTGGCCTGGTATTTTGTGGTTTATTTGCATGACATGCTCAGGTTCAGCCCCACTCTGTTTCTGCTTTTCTTGTAGGTCAGAGTCTACTCATCCCTGTTTGGAGATAAGCAGAAGACCACAGAAATACCTTCCAAGGAAGCTGTGGACAAAGAGGAGACAATACTGCAACTACAACCCTGTGAATATAGAGCAAAAGGGGAGCTTCATGCATCTCATGCACAACTCTTCAGCCCAGTTGACCTTTTCTCCCCCAAAGACCTATGCTGTTGACACATCTGGGACAATGTCCCAGGTCATTACTGTAGAGACTGTTGCCCCCCGCCCCCCCCATATTGCTGCAGCTTTGTGTTGCAGTTAGCACCTACCTTTAGAAAACAAAAAAAACCTGAGGGCAATTGTCCAGCCCTTTCTCCAACTTGCCACAATTCTTTCCTAGTCCTGCTTCCGCCTTCCTGAGCACTAAGTGCTGATTCCAGCTTGATACCATCGGAAGCACTGGGGGCTCACTCCCCCTTCCACGACCTCTGCTGCCAGCAGAAGCACCAAATTGGACTTGATGCAAGACTAAAGCCCCTGGACCCTCAAATTAATTCTGCTTCACAGGGTGGGATAATCACTGAAATTAGTTCGAGGTATTTTTTTCTCCTGACCAGCACGGGTTGGAGAGAATCTGTTACCTGCAAAGTTTGTCCCAAGGATTAGACAAGCTTTTTAGGGCACAGATCCCCAAACTCCTCTTTTTCTTGCAACTTAGAGGCACTATTTGGCAACAGACAGCAGAGGAGCAACATCCCACATGCTGTTGGTGCTTTCAGGATGCTGCTGTGGTTCCCAGAGTTTATCAATGAACTCCTTGCACTGGAGCAGCAGTTTCCCACAGGCCCAGAGCACCCAGTGCTCTGTAACAACAGGGCACCCACAGCTCTGGCTGCCATCTGGAGGGGAGCAAAGAGAAATCTCATCTAGCAAAGAGAAATAAACGTGAGCAGGAGGTGCTTCTGCCTCCTAAGCTGTATCTCCAAATATCTTTAACTATTGCAAAAGCAAGTAAACAATGATAAATATTGTTATCTTGAGGGAGGCTGTTGACACCAACATGCTTGACTTTGCAGGCTGAGTGCTGGCAGGGGCCAACAGCAGCTCAGCGGAGGGGCAGTCCTGCTGCTAAGGCACTGTGACCCCCTCTGCTCGACTTTGCAGGAGACTCTGCAAGGATAAGGGATGAAGCTGGGCTCAGTGTCTGAGCACTCAGGTGATTCATATTGCAGATAGAAAAAGCTTTCACTGAAGATTTGCTAACAGAAAGTCAAAAGTGCCACCCCAGCAAGGGAAACTGTGCCACCTCTCCCTATGTCTCTTGGCAGTGAAATTTGTTCTTTCATGTTTACTAGTTCTGGCATTCAATGCAAATCAAACCCAACAGAAAACAAGTTTTTGCTTGCTCCTTCCTTTATTTCTTTCCTCTTCCTCCTCCCTGAACTATTTTTTCCTCATATTCTCTCTCCTTCATGAACCAGCAGAAAGCTGGGTCTGTTAAGGAATTTTACTGCCTTGGTAGAAACCCTGCAAATCTACATAAGCAGAAAATCTTGTCACGTCTCCTCACAAATTGAAAAGGAGAACTAAATGAAATCCCACTGGGATGCTCTGGCTACCTCAGTGCAACAAGGTTCAGCTTAAGCTGCTTGTTTCACTTGCTGCATTGCCTGGTTTTAATCCAATTTGGTTTGGGACACATAAAATAGCCGCTTTTCCGCCCTCCAGGAAGCAGCGGGTGCAACCAGAGCAGAGCAAAGTGCTGGCTGGTCCTGCCTCATGTGCACACACCCCAAGCTGTGCTCACTTCTTGGCTCAGGCTTTAGCACTACCTTTTGTCATCTGCAACATTTGTGATTGTGTTTGTCAAAATGTCACCTGAGTCACAACCAACAGCTCAAGTGCGACCGTTGGTGCTACGGCAGCAAAGCCCCCGTGATGTGAAGGCCAGGAGCTGGCTGCTTGCTCATCCCCTCTTGGTCACCCCATGGATTACCACAGCCTAACACCAGATCATCCCTGTTAGAGGGAGACATGGAGGACAGCCCTCCTCTGAGAGCAGGGCTCTGACTCCAGCTTCCCCTTCCCCACCAGCCGCCCCTCTGACACCACACCTCCCCAGGGAGCAGCAGGGGCTGCATTGTTTCCATCCAAGCAGCCACCACAGCCAGCTCTGTCCAGCACTGTGCTGTCCCCCAGGCCTGCTTTTACAGGAATTAAAATTAAAAAAGGTGCTGCCCTGCAACAGCCTGGAGAGAAAAATGTTAAGAAGTGCCTGTGCACAGCTCCGAGCAAGGCCCCGGCTGCAGGAGCCCCAGCACTGCCTGGCTTTACCTTCACCTCACCCCAGACTCACTGCAGGAACTGCCGAGGGGCCGCCCTGCTCCACGAGAACAAAATCTTCCCAGAGACAGAGGCAGAAATAGCCACATAGTGGCTTCATGCCTAAAACACCAGCAAAGCAGCTCAGCCTCTCATGACAGCTGCCCTGCACAGTGAAGAGACACCGATTTGTTCCTTCCTTCCATCCCAGAATCTGCCCCTTTGACTCCAGACAGAGATGAGCAAATATTTAATTAACACGTTTGACCTTTTATCAGCGCTCCATGCTGATGGCTTCCTGCACACCAGCTAGGTGTGCTTTCCTGCAGCCTGCTGCAAACCTGGAAACAGAACAGTGTTACAAGGTTTCTTCACATATCTTTGAACATTTTCCAAAACTCTGGATTTGAAAACTGAGAACATGAAAGTCATCTTCCATTATTATTTTAATAGCATTTAAGTTTGTATCTCTTATTCCTGTTGAGTTGTATAAAAGTAGAAAACAAGTGTTACCTAGAAAATCAAAAGTCAAAGGATTCAAGTCAAAACATTTTAATTCTTTTTCCCGTGTATGTTTAAAATTTTCCAGATTTCTTGTGGTAAGACAGGGTTAGAGTTGACTGAACATAAATGATGCCTCAAAATAGCTGAGAACAGAGAGCAGAGAGCATCCTGCTCCTTCTGGTTTAGCTGGCATTACCAGAGACCTCACAATGTCATTCTACCAGCCCTTATTTTCCTGATCATTGTTAAAATGCCAACAATTCTCATGTCAGTGAGTTATTTTCAGTTTACAGGATATGCAGGTGTATGGCCTGACCCTTTCCCTTCCCCTCACCTGGCCAGAGCAGGATGGTTCAGCGAGGATTCCTCATTCAATTAACACATCCATTATTTCAGTCTGAAGCTCAGTGTGACTCGGAGGTAATACAAAGCAGGAGAAACCTCACCTGCATAAGGGAACACTTGGTTATGTTCACAAGACATGCACTGTATGTCACTGAGACCTATTTTTAAAGTACAGCAGCACCAGTTATATTTGATAACTATAAACATTTTATTCTTATATAAAAATATAGGAACCAAATACTATACAGAAAAATATAAAGTTAAGTCGAGATCTTGTCAGTCCCATTTAAGACAAACAGGCTCACACTGTGCAAGCCCCAGACTTTCAAAAATAAAATTATCCTGGCAGTTGAAGTGGTGGCACATCCAGAGGCAGAGCTGTGCTGAGGAATAAGCTTCTAATACAGGGAATTTGTCTTGCAGCTTCCAACATCCTTGCAAGTTTGCTTTTGTTACACATAAAATGGAACCCAAGTCCTCCTTCATGGTCTGACCTGGAGATAAACGTTCTCCCACCCCTCAGAGTATTTACAGGAAGGTGCTAAGAGCCCACCCGGCCAGGACACATCCCCCAGGCTGCGACCCCACCCCATGGGCTCACATTGACACAAACCAGTGGCTGCAGCACCCTCACACAAACACAACTGGAACCTCTCTGTCACCAGCTGCAAGCTGGAAATGATGACTTAGGGAGGCAAAAGTCAGTGAAAGCAAGCTGATGAAATCCCTGAGCTTCTACCAGTTCCTCAAAACAGAAAAAAGCCAACTCCCCTCCCCCAGACAACAAAAGCAGCCAGCATTCTTTTCCAAGGTACTGGCTGCTTCAGTACATTCCTGTCTTTAAGGAAGGACACTGTGGACTGCAGCAGCCAACAGTGTAAGAATCATCTCCCTCCTCTTTACCTGTACTTCCCCAGTACTAATTTTATTTTCCACAACCAAACTGTCCAAGTTTGCTTGCAGATGAAGCAGGAACAAGAGGAGGGAATGGAGAAGGCAGAGAATTAAGGAATTACAGTGCAAATTATATGCTCATGGGAAAAAAAAACAAACACAAAAGAAAAAGGTTCTCTGTAGATTTTCCAAGCCTGTTCTCTCCATTGCCTCAAAATAGGGTTGGTCTTTGTCAGGGAATAAGTTCCAACTGACCCTAGACCTTCGACAGAAGGTGGGAGTGTGTTCCCCAAAGCAGTGAACTTGCTGTCACACTGTGTATCAGCAATGCCTGAGAGATGCAACATCACCACCTTTTCATCACCCACTAATCACAGCAGGACTCCACCAGAAAGTGCAGTGGGAGTCTCAGGTCTTCACGTTCCTCTTATATTATTCATTTGTAGCAGAGATTTGCAAGTCCCTGTGCTATATTCACAGTGGAAAAAAAGTGCAGCAACACATGTTGGAGACACTCCAGGAATTATTGCTCTGCTGAGGCAGCTTGTGGAGCCTGACTAAAGAAAATTGGCCAAAGAAGAAATAAGGGCAGGCCTAAAGAGGAAGACAGAGAAAGAAAGGAATTGCTCCAGGCACCAACACATCCTAGTTCCTGCCTACTGCCAGAAAGGTGCTGTAATGGATCCTGTCTCCTGTAAGCAGCAGAGCAGCAGTTGTGTAGGGTTGATCAGCAGCATATTTGGACAGTCTGTGGCAGGTGTTGGGACAGTTCACTGCCACCTGTAGATATTCACCACCTTCTCTGTCAGAGTAGCCAGGAGATGGGTTTGGTTCACTTCCAAGGGGCAGATATCCAGCACAGGCAGGTCAGCTGGCAGCTTCTGCAGCAAGGAACCACTTCCAGCATCCCAGAGCTGTGGGAGGGACAGACAAGGTCAAGGACTGAAGGATTCTCCCCTCCCATCCAGAAGAGATCTTCCTCTCTCCAGAAAAGACTTTCCTCAAATTACTTACAGGACCCTTTCTCTACTTCCACACCTTCCTTGGATGGTTTTTAACAGAATCACAGCATGATGCCACCACGACCACTCTCTCTGACCCCACTCATGAGCTCTCCTCCTCTTCCCTGTCATTTCTAAAGAGCCTGCATCCTTCCCTCACAGCACTTACCACATTAGCTACCCCACCAAGTCTGTTACACCACTTAGAGTGCCCAGTTGTGCCAGTGTGCCCAACCCCATTCCTCTGGGGGACAAGAGGGGCTCACTGCCTACACACTTTTCAATGGATGGGGACCAAGGCCTTGGCTAAGATCGAGTCCCATGCTATCAGGAAGTTACACCTGCTACAGAAGTACAACACACCAACCAGCACAGGGTAATGTCCATGACAAGACAATTCCCACCAAATCACACTGATGCTGTGACTGATGAGGCTTCTCTCCTATGAATTGCAATAAACCCCTCCAGCACACTGAAAGGAGCAAGAGATACCAGGGCAGAATTGGACGCCTCATCACCAGCACACACAAAGACGCTCCCGTCATCCTCCGGGCTCTGGAAAATGGCATTTTTGGTCAGCAACTTGCAGGTGGGCCCAGCACTGAAAGTCTGAACCGGGTTAGAAGAACACACCACATCTTCAGAGGCCTCTGTCAGTGGGCTGCAAGTCAGTTCCATCATCACACAACGCACACATGGGTTATTTTTACCTGTGTGGTAGAAATACAAAGGTAACCTTTGGAAAATGTACTCACAAATAGGCTTCAGCTGTAGGAATACAAGCAGCACCACCCTGCAGCTGCCTCCTTTCGCCCTCCCCTGGTTCTTATCTATGTGCAGATGCTCATTGCTGTGGTGGGGGCAGATGCTGCATTTCTGCTGTGCCCCCAAGCTGGTGCTGAGCTGAGCCCCAGCAGTGAGTGGCACTGAGAGCCCTGCAGAGCCCCCCGTACGTACCAGGCCTGTACGTGGCCAGGCAGTGCCGTGTGTTGATCTCTGTTTGGATATCGATGCAGCCCCCGGGCTCCAGGGGCAGGTGATGGGGCCGGTAGGAGTTGCCAGCTCTCTGTTCCCAAAAGCAGGCTCCTTCCAAGGTCCCAGCCAATATCCCGCCGTAGGGCAGCGACGCCGAGGCCATGCGGGGCAGGTAGGACAGCGACACCATGGGGCACCTGCAAGGGGGACAGGCAAGAGTCAGTGCTGCCAGCTGCAGCTCTGCTGGCATCCTGCTTGCTGCTGCAGAGCTCCAGCCTCTCCAACTGCACAGCAAAGAAAGGGCCTAAGCAGGCTCTGAGATGGTCCTTCAAGCAAGGAACCCCAGTGGCATGTCAAGTATAAACGGAATTCAACTTAACTACTGAGCCTTATGTTTCACAGAGCATTAGACAGCACACATCAGATGAGAGCAAATCACTGTTTCATTCCTGGAGTACAAGAGACAGAAGTAGCAGATATCACACCTTTGTGTGATTTGTCCTTTCCCATTAAATACTAAACCCAGCTCCAAAACAAATTCAATTCTCCTGCTTACGCTGCACCAGTGGGTCCATTTCTGACCCATGTGTGCCTTAAAAAGAGCACAAGTGCTTGGCACCTGTGTAAGTTACACATGATACATGTGCTAAATGTGAATTTTTGGACAAGAGGTTCACATAAACCAACTAAACCCACTGCAATTGCTGTGTGAAGCTGTGTTTAAGTTAATGCATATAAGTTGAGAGGAATGACAAATCCTTATGCCACACCTGGACTTCTGAGGGACCAGTTCTTGGACGTGAGAGTTGGTGTCCCTCAGATCATATATCATGATAGAGCCATTGACCAGTCCAGCGTAGACATAGTTTGTATCATCGAGACACCAGCAGCAGCTCCAGACAGGACGGCCAGCATTGTACGTCTGCACCACAGTGTTGGTTGCCAAGCTGCAGAAGAAAAGCAAAGTGTTGGCTGGTTGCACAGGCATCTACTGATGAGAAAAAAGCATAATTAAGGTAAGCAAATCTAGCTTTTTAAAGTCTTTAGACAGAAGCATCCCTCTTTAGACCGAATTCTCAATTAACTCCTTTACTCCAGATGTGAATCTGGAAAATCTAAACAGAATAATCCCTTGGATATTGTCAAGTGATTTATAATTCTTCCAGGCCAATGCTTCTTTTTTCAGATTGATCTTTGGAGACTGGGAGAGGAAATCTCACAGCAGGGTCTCAGCTGCCTTACT